AAAGAATGTTTTTAATTTTCTTTTTTTTTAATTTTCTTTTCTTTTTTTTAATTTTTTTTTGTTTTTGTTTTGTTTTTTTGAGACGGGGTTTCTCTGTGTAGTCCTGGCTGTCCTGGAACTCACTCTGTAGACCAGGCTGGCCTCCAACTCAGAAAGCCGCCTGCCTCTGCCTCCCAAGTGCTGGGATTAAAGGCGTGCACCACCACTGTCTGGCTAAATGATACATTTTAAACTATTAAAAGTTAGATGCTTTCATGGAATTAAACAGAGAATGTAACTTTGTTGAATGAAGTGTCAGCCAAACATGATGCATGACTGCTGTTATGTTATCACGGCTAAGTTCTCTCTCTCTTTTTAAAGATGTATTATTTATTTATTTTATGTATATGAGTATATTGTACTATCTTTAAACACTAGAAGAGGGCATCGGATCACATTACAGATGGTGGTGCGCCATCAAGTGGTTGCTGGGAATTGAACTCGGGACCTGTGGAAGAGCAGGCAGTGCTCTTAACCACTGAGCCATCTCTCCAACCCACTAAGTTCTCTTTAAGTCTTCCTTTTCTACAAAGGTACCCCAATTTACATAGACCTCCTATTTCCATAAATTATAGTAGTCTGCATTACATTACCTGAGGTGTTCGTTGTAACTCGTACAAACTGAGTTCCCATGTTTTGCTTAATGGTTGAGTTCCGTTTGTCTGCACAGCCTGAGACATTTCTAGGAATAAAAATGAAACAAAGTTTTAGTATTTGAAAAGGAAGTGCAACAATTGGTCTAAATATATATGTATTCCCCAAACTGGTGTCTAAACTTTATACCTTAGAAAGCAATACTTCAAAATACACCCCTCAGTCTTCAACATCTGAGAACACTTGGGAAACAGCAAGGTTTTTTTTCTGACATTACTTATGTCTACCTAGGGATTGGATCCATCAAAAAGGAGCAGAGTACTTTTAAATATTTTTAAGGAAAAAATAAAATAAAAAACCAAACACTACATCCCTAACCCAGAGGAACTTTGCCTGCGTTCCTGCTCATTCCTCCCCCTAGGAAACATTCATTACTCCCCTAAAATGGATGTATCAGACCCTTCTTTGAAGTATATTCTTGCCGGGCAGTGGTGGCGCACACCTTTAATCCCAGCACTTGGGAGGCAGAGGAAGGTGGATTTCCGAGTTGGAGGCCAGCCTGGTCTACAGAGTGAGATCCAGGACAGCCAAGGCTACACAGAGAAACCCTGTATCAAAAAACCAATAAAAAAAAAAAGAAGCATATTCTTTCTCTTTTCAATCTGCCTATTTTTAGTTTGTTCCAGCTGAATCTATCACTGGGAAAGTTCAAAAGAGAAAACCTAACCTCCAATGTATTAAGAGGTGAATCATATCAGACAGATGCCCTTTGAGGCAATCCATTAGCTACATAGAAGACTCTAGCTTTACTGGTCAGGGCAAAATAATCAGCCACGTGGACAACATTAGGAAAATTCCAGACAGCTTCATGTCATAATCACCAATATTGGATCATTATTAGGAGAAACTTAGCTTCTAACTTCTATCTGGGGAGGGAAAAGAAGTACACTGTGTATGTCCCCAATAATTCAACTTTCCTGGGATCTACCCAAAGAATGGGCTTCTGTCCAGCCTGTCTCTGAAATGCTAACATGATCCAGGCAGTGCAGGAACTCTCCTGACAACTCAGATGGAAACTCAGCATAGAAACAGTGCATGAAAAGAATCTCAGCTCCTTAGCTTCTCTCTCTGAGGCAGGAAGCAGTGATCTAATATATCTGGGAAATAAATATCTAGTCTTGCCTGACTTCAGTGCTGGAGGATTCTGAAATACACATCCAGCTGTCCAGGACAAACAAAGCAGGCAAGACTAGAACAGATCAGAGAGGCCTCAGAGTCTTCTCTTGCAGAAGGGCCAGCCTGTGAAGACTGAGAAAGGCAGCAGCTTAATATGATACAGGGACATAAAGAAACTACACAGGGAAATACATTCCAAAAAAAAGAAGATAAATCACCAGCAAATGGCTCTGCTTAACTGACACATGATTCTATATACCACAAAATTAAAAATAATAGAAACATGCTCATCAGGCTCAGTAGAATAATGCACAAACAACATGAAAAACTTAACAAAGAGAAAAACCAAAAGATAAAATATCTGAACTAAAAATTTCACTAGAACCCAACATCCGGCTAGACTGAGCAGGCAGAAGAAAGGGTTCTATAGAAGGGGGTTGTCTGTAGAAGGGGTTATGAAGAAAGCAAAAAGTTCACAGGACATGACAAGAGAGAACCAATAGCTTCATTATGGAAGCTCTCAAAGGGAACAGGAAACAGGAACAAATGCTTATTTAAAGAGATAGATGCCTCTGGTTCATAACTGCCATGACAAGCGCTGCTATTCTGCCACATCCATGACAGACTGGAACACTTCTGTAACCATAAGCCAGAGCAAATCCTTCTGCTTCATTTTCTCAGATATTTAGGCCACAGTGATACAACTAACTAACCAAGGAATCAGGACCATTGCAGCAATAAAACCTGGTAAAAAGGATTAGTTAGGTTCTTGGAACTGGTTTGTGGGAGAATTTTGCAAGTTTAGAGAAGCTGGCTAGGAAAAGTTTTCAACAGTATAAGCAGAACTTCATGGGTGAATTTGGTAGGAATTCAAAGTTCAACACATCCACAGGACGGAGAGAGCAAAGGCAGAGCTTACGAAGTTTCAGATTGGAAAGCACTCACGTTACATTCCAAAGCACATTGCCTACTACAATGTCTATGGGTTTCAACTATTAAAGGCTAGGTTTAACAGTGACAAACTAATTAGTTTGGTAGGGAAAATTTCAAGACACGACACCATTCAGCATCTGTTATTGCTGGCCATTTTTATTTTTTAGCTGAGTTTACACTGACAGAAGCCAAGCTAGAACAAAAAAAAAGAGATTTATCTGCCCTGAAAATAAGAAAGGCGTGGATAACAATAGTGTGCATGAGACAGCCTGGTGGTGCTCACCTGCAATCCCAGCACACAGAAGGGACTGCAAATTCACAGCCAGGGAAATGACTCAGTTGTTAGCCAGTTGTTAGTTGAGGCCTGGTGATCTGAGTTCAATCTCTTGAGACACAAGGTGGAAAGAAGATGACTCCAAGAACTTGGCACAATGGCAGAAGCATACATAAGCACATGCAAAAACACAGAATAAATCCAAAATTAATTAAAAAAAAAAAAAAGATTACTTCAGGTGAGGTGATGGCACACCTTTTATCCCAGCACTGGGGAGGCAGAGGCAGGTAGATGAATCTCCCCAGCCTAGTCTACAGATTGAGTTCAAGTTCTAAACCACCCAGAGTGACAGTGAGGTTCAAAAAGGCAAGGGGGGAAGGGAATTGGGGGAAATGGCAAATAACAAATTCAAAATCAGCCTGCTTTAACAAGCAGCAACACCTACAGAAGTGAAGTGAGGGTGTTGTTTAAAATTACATCATTGGGCTGGAGATACTGCTCAGAGGTTAAGAGCATTGTCTGCTCTTCCAGAGATCCTGAGTTCAACCACATAGTGGCTGACAACCATCTGTAATGAGATCTGATGCCCTCTTCTAGCCTGCGGCACACATGCAGGCAGAAAGCTGTAAATATAATGAAAATAAATAAATAAATTTTTAAAAAATTAAAATTATATCATTAAAAAGGCCACCAAGTACATCCCATTCGGATAACAGAAAAGATAACTTTAGAAGTACCTGAGAAACTGACCAGATAGTACCCAGTGCAGGCTCCAGGATCAAACATTGTAAGCTTATGTGAAAGATTTTCCTTTGGGACACCCTGTAGTGCCACACTCCCTCAAGAACAATGATATTTTTTTCTCCCATGGTTCAGTAGCCTAAGCAATCAGAGGCCACTTATAACCATGGCCTAAGGAAGTGGTTGTCAACCTGTGGGGTTGTAGCCCCTTTGGAGGTCTAAGAACTCTTATACAGGAGTCATTCTAAGACCATAAGAAAACAGAGATTTATATTATAATTCACAGTAGTAGCAAAATTATAGTTATGAAGTAGCAACAACAAAAAAATTAAAAGATAAAAAAAAATTGCCAGGCAATGGTGGCGCACACCTTTAATCCCAGCACTTGGGAGGCAGAGGCAGGTGGATTTCTGAGTTCGAGGCCAGCCTGGTCTACAGAGTGAGTTCCAGGACAGCCAGGGCTATACAGAGAAACCCTGTCTCGAAAAACAAAAACGAACAAAAAAAAAATTAAAAAGATACAGTTATAAAGTAGCAACAAGATAATTTTACGGTTGGGAGTTGTGATGGTTTGTATATGCTTGGCCCAGGGAGTAGCACTATTAGGAGGTGTGGCCCCGTTGGAGTAAGTGTGTTACTGTGGGCATGGGCACTAAGACCCTCATCCTAGCTGCCTGGAAGCCAGTATTCTGCTAGCAGCCTTCAGATGAAGATGTAGAACTCCCAGCTAGCTCCTCCTGCATCATGCCTGCCTGGATGTTGCCATGTTCCTGCCTTGATGATAATGAACTGAACCTCTGTAAGCCAGCCCCAATTAAATGTTGTCTTTATAAGAGTTATCATTGTCATGGTGTCTCTTCACAGCAGTAAAACTCTAAGACAGGAGTCATCATAACATTAAGAACTGTATTAAAGTATCGAACGAAGCATTAGGAGGTTGAGAACCACTGGTCTAAGGCAATCCAGACACAGATAAAGCTTGTAACACAGCTGAGCACTCTATGGAGCTGCCTTGGTATGCATGCGGAATACAGCCACTACAGGGTCCATGGATCTTCAAAATTTCAAAGGAAGGCCTAGGTGGCTAAGTGATCAATTTGTGGCAGAGTCAGAATCTCTGCAGGCAGCCCCACAAAGGACAAAGTATGGAATCCTGAGATACTGGAATTGCCTGGGAAATGGGCCATCTAGCTATAGAAGAATGCTGCAAGTAGCTCAAGGAAAGTCCATGCCTGAGAGTTAGACCATGTGGGACAAAAGGATGTAAAGGCAGCACTGTCCAATACTGGGGAGCCCAAACCACACTACATGCCCCAGAAGCTAGATGTGGGCCTAGAGGATTTAATGCTATCCTGCTGAATTCTAATCTTGCTTTAGCCATTTCTTCTTAGATAATCGCTTACCCCTCCCTTTTAGAGTGTGTTTACTTTGACAATGTGTATCGCACAAATTTAATTGGTTGTATTTACATCTATGTTCTTACAACAAAATACCAGACAGGAACAGCTTAGGAGAAGCATTTATTCTGGCCCATGGTTCAGGAGATCCAGTCCATCACATAAGGGAAATAATGTCAGAGGGTTCAGCTTGTGGAAGCAGGGGCCAAGATTCAGCAGCTGCTTGTCATACTTGACTCACTCATTAAGAAGCCACGAGCTGGGGCTCAAAGTGAGGCTGGGCTAAAACTCTCAGGCCTGCACCCAGGTGTACAACCAACAGGAAGCAGAAGTACACAATACACAAACTTGAAGTTACTCCTTCTTAACTGATGTGTAAAACCAAAAATGTAAACATATTAATGGGCACTAACCACCTCAAAAGGCTCCTATGCCTATATAGGTGCCCAACTTGTGGATCCAATAATCAAAAGTGGTTGGGCTGTGAGGCTCCTGATCTAATCAACAGGTCAATGTCTTGACTTTATAATCTGATCAATAGTATTTCTGGGAGATGGGAGAGACCAG